GAATGGGAGCCGAAACAAAAAGCAAACACCTCGGCGATATAACACCTGCGCGGGCCACATCAAGGTCGCACCACCCCGACAAGAGTCAATCTGGTGAAGAAGAACAAGGAAGCGAATCCGCCAGCAGGCTGCGCCAACCGCCGGCACACGAGCTGAAATGCAGCTAAAAGCCAGCGAGATGCGATCTACGGGCCCAGGAGCGATGCGCGCCCCAGATGCAGCGCAGGCGCCGAAACTTAAGAGGCCGCGGCCATGCCAGCCAGCGCCCACCCCCCAGCGCAGCACGGCGGCAAGGCCACCGCTGGACAGGCTGCCAACGGAAGAAGGCGCCGATCACAAGCGGCGCTTGGAAATTTTCACGCACGCCCTTGGGGGCGCAAGAACGCCATCGCCCTGGCCACCGAGAGAGGCGCAAGGCACCACCGGGCCGCGCCCCCGGGCCGCCCCGGAAGGACGACAGGCGAGGCGATCAGAAGGCCACCGCCAAAGGCGGCATGGCAACAAAATGCTGACCAACAGCGGGCACCATGGCACAGAAAAAGCAGCGGCAATCCACCCCAACACGAGGCCTGGGGGGCGCGACAACAAGAGAAGCGGACCCGGCCGAGCCGACCCGCGCCCCGCGCAGGGGCGCAGGCAGCAAGGGTGGCAAGACCGCTGCTGGCCCGATGGACCGACAGAAAGAAAGCGCTACAACGCGCCCGTGGAGCGCAACGATGAAGAGACAAATCCAAAACATGGGCGGTGTAGACCAGACAAGACACGGCCGAGCACCCAGGAGACGACCTCTGGGCGCGGGCTAGCCTTCCACCGGAGGTCCACGCGCCTAACGCGACGAGAGACAGCGACAAGTTCCGCCAACCGCTTCGCGGGCCAAGCCACGAGGCAGCTGGAGGCCGCGAAAAGATAGCCCACACCACTGGCGGTCACCGCGCGGAGTGGGGGGGGGGCGCAGAGCGGCGAGCGGCGACGTCGCGACTGCGCAGAAAATTGAAGCTCCAGCGAAGAGCAGCGGCGAAGAGAGAGAGTGGGGGAAAGGGAACTCAGGGCGAGGCGAGGAAAAGCCTCCGCCGGCAGCAACGCACATCCGGGGCAAGGACAGCCCTCAAGTCAATAATTGTGCATGCATGAGCGGGGGGGGGCGTGACCTCAGTAGCTCGCGCTTCCGCGTTCAGCGCGACGTCGCGCATCGAATCCCCTGTCGACCTGGCCCCCTCCTCGGGGATATGCTGAGCGGCCGAAAAATGGTCGAGGGACATTGGCGAAAAGTGAGGCGGGCCGCGAAAGAAGTGACATTCGCCCTCGCTCGCGTTGCACGCGGCGCACGGCGGCGCGCGCCCGGGAGCCCGCGCTTCACCGGGCACCCTTCCGATGGCCCGGCACCCCTTGCCCCCCGCCGCCGCTGCCAGGCCGCAGCCCACGCGCGGCCTCGCCAAAATCTGCCGCGCGTCTTCATAGAGGAGCCAGTTCCACTTTTCGCGCGCCACCTCACCTCATTGGCGAGGACGCGCCGCGAAACGCCGCGAGGGGAATTGGCGCGGAGAGGAAGACAGGCCCGACGAAAATCCCGGCAAGCAAAGCACGTGCTTACACGGCCAAAACACGCCCCACATACGGGCGCCCCTTACAATGGCAGCCACTGTCCTGAAGGGGTGGGATTCGCAGCAGAACAGACGCGCATCCCCCCTGAAAGACGGGCGGCGCGCACCTGGCAAGTCCCCTCGACTTACGACCGCGCAGCCTTTGAAGGTCTCAGAGCCGCAGAGCACGCGCGGCCGGGCGAGCCAGCGACGGCGGTCGGCCGCCTCCGAGGCCCTGAGGACAGGGAAGGCCATCGCGGAGAACGCAAGCTCCGCGCCCTGCAACGCTTGAGCCTGCAAGGCAACCAGCGACGGTCGCGTTCAGTCCTGACCAGGTCGGCGCGACGCGGAGCCCGATCCCTCTCGTGATTCCTCCGTCGCCAGGGGAGGGCCGAACCGTGGAGTTGGCGCTATATTCCCTAAATTCCGCACGCTGGGGGCTGGCGCTGATAGAGGCCCGTGGCTGCTCTGCGCAGAGCTACCCAGGGTCTTTGACCACCGATGCGAATCCGCACGATGGGCAGTGGTTTTCTGCCCTACAGTTCCACGTGGATCCCCGATCGGGCGCGCCCCGCTCCGCGCTCGCATTCCGCTTCAGATACTTAGAGAAAGCAGCGAGTTTCGGCAGGGCGTTGTCGTTGTCCGGCGCTGGTTTCCACGTCGACGGCTCTGCGCGCTGGGGCCTCTGTCGCGCCAGCTCGCCGCCCTGCTCGACCGGCGGTCGGTCTCGACGCCAGATGCCATCAGTTCGTGCCACCTCCTGTCCCCGAGTCCGCCGGTTTGCCTCCCCGCGCTCATCATGTGCCACTGCCCGATCACGCCTCGACGCATAACCCACAGGGGTTCGGCCATCTCGTTGGAGCGCATCCTCGCATGGCGACCAGTCATGCCCCGACGAGGACGCAACCCCGCGGGCATGAGCACCCCTCGCCCAGGGGGCGGCACACTCTGGATGGCGATCAGCGGCGCACGCGCGCCACGGGCGCGCCGCGGCGCGCGATCGCACAGATCGCCCACCCCAGGTCTGCAAGAACAATCACGTCGAAGAAACGAAGCCAGTAGTTGCGATCATCGCCCTCTGGGACTGTCTCTCGCGCCGGTGAGGCGGGCCACCCCGTCCGTCAGAGCTCGCTGCGCCCCGCCGAATTGGCGGGCCGGGCGCTCGCCTGCCTGGGCCCAATCACGGGAGCAGGGTGCGTTCAGGACGCCCTGTTTCACACGCGACGCTCCGCCCCCCCATGTTGTTCGCCTTCTTGATGCCGGAACTGCCCCGCGCAATGTCACTCGCAACCTGGCGCGCATGCACGTCGGCTCATGGATCCATTTGGCGGAGCGGATCTAGCGGGGCCTTCAGTCCCCAGTCGTTCAACCTGCTATCGCGCGCGTTGTTGCATCTCCAAAGATATCCACCTTGCTCAAGATGTTCAGCCGTGGGAAATGAAACGGTCAGGTCTCGGGTGTCCTCCGTCTCTGCCACGGCCAGTTCCCGAAGCGCGACTGGAAATTACCATAGCGCTTTGGGAGCGGACTTGGCCCAGAAACTGTCAAGGACCCTGACTTCGCAGCGGCGCGGGCCACTTCCGCCGCAGGGCGACTGGCTGTCCGCGATGCGCTGCTGCCAGACAGCACCAAGGGACAAAGGGGGCCATGATCCTGTCAATTTGGCCTTGTTCCCATAATCTGCCACCTCGCGCACTGCGACAGCGCGCGCGGCACGGGGCCAAAGCGATCATTCGTTGGACGCCCATTCAGTGACATTTCATGCAGTTCGAAAGCGCTGCGGATCCAAATGGCCAACGCATCCCGATTGTGAAGCGCCAGGTCCGAGAAGCGTTGTTGCTATGGGTGGAACCGCGCATGCAATGACGTCTCCACTCATTTACGAACGAAGAGTGCATTCGCAACAGAATGTTATAGACCTTAACCACATCAAATCTGGGCATCTCTTCCCATCGTACCGGGACTGACTGATTGGGGGCCGGCGGGTGCATGGCACTTGGGGCGAAGCTCCACAATTCTCCGATCCCCCCCTGGACCCCAGCCGCCCGTGCTGCGGCACCCGATGGGGGGCCTTCTATGCGCAACGCCGCAATCCCGTCTGTCTTCTCGTGGTTTCTGCCGCGACGGGGCGCCTCGAGGGCGCCTTTCGTTGCATCATGGGTGGGATGGCAAGATTGTGCTTCGCATTCTGGCGCGAAACGACGGTGCCGTGGGAATCCACGTGTCGATCCACTGCATTGGAGATGTGAATGCTGCAGCGTAACACGCTCCCGTGGCCGTCCACGTCGACCTGGTGTGAAAACCCGTCCAAAATGTCCCAATCGCAGGATTGGTGGCGGAAACGATTGTCCAAGTGATGACTGGTCTTCACAATCCAATCTGTCCCGCTGGGCTTTGAGTAGTCTTTGCAGCCGCCCGGGGCGTGAAGCCCACCTGTCGCTGCCATCCTCGAGAGCCCGTTTCCAAATCAGAAGTTGAATCTCCCCGTCGACCCATGGTGTGGTGAGCCATAATGTGCCAATGTGGCCTGTCTGTGTTCGGTCATGTGGGTCCTTGTCGCCGCCCGCTTTCCCCTGCCATAGTCGATGCTGCCGTCGTCCACAAGGATACCCACGTCTTCGAACTCCCCTTCAACCTCCACATTTGCTGGTAATTCTGGACGAGGAATGTCGGAAAGGACATTATGATGCAGCTGATGGATGTTGGCCACGGTGAACCTCGATGCCTTGCACAGTGCCGCAACGATAGGTGTGAGAAGTTCCTGAAGGCACTTTTGAAGAATGTCGGCCAGCCCATTCGTATATTACGTGCCTGCCACATGGTCCGGTCTCTGTACCTGATCCATGAGCCATCTGTCCCATTTTTCCTGGGTCCAGCCTGATGTGGCGTCGTGGAAATGGGTTGCATGGCACTCCTGTCCATGTTGTCTCCCGACCGTAGCCGTGGGGGTTGGTGGAGCTTTCGCGGGCGGATCCCAGTTTGGCGAGAACTGGTCGCCGAAGTGCATTGCATCTGGGGCGCGACCACAGATTTACAGCGCAACCAATTGCACGGCATCAGGTGGACGGTCCTCACAGTCTTTGTCACCTGATTCTCCAAGTCAGCAAGTAGCTTCCACGTAGCTGCCCATAGAATGCCGTCACCAAACAACTGGATGAAGCACGTATAGAACTCACACTTGTGGAAGCGTGAGTCACCATGGGCAGAAACGCCAGACATGTTCGTAAAAGCACACACACACGCGCGGTTTATGAGCTCCACAGGGGGGGGAAGAGGGGAAAGAAGAGCGGAGGAGAGGGGGGATTGCAGGTGGACGGGGAGGGAGCTGAGAGGCGCGGGGTAGAATGAATGGGGAAGGGGGGGGGGGTACCGCGAGGCAAGGGAAAAAGCCGCGGGCCCCCCAGCTCAGCGCGTGGAGTCCTCGAAGACGTGTGCCAGGTCTGGGTTCTCCTCCAGCTTGAGGATCTCGGGGGCGGGGTCGGCCTCCCGGACTCGGCCCGCGGCCCCCGGGAGGAAGCAGCAGATCTCGGCGGTTGCCGAAGGTCGCAGGGGGGCAGCAACTTGGGAGGGTGAAATAGAGAAAGACGCGGAGCGAGCGATCGAGGCTGGCGCAGGCGGGCCCCAGCCGCTGCTCGCATCGCGAGCGTCCGAGTCCACGCTGCTTGTACATCACGGCGCGCTGAGCCGAGCCACGAGGAGCGGGGAAGCTGGGCGGCAGCGTCTTCTGGTGCGCAGTGTCCCGAAGAGCTCAAAACGATTGAGCGATCACACCGCCAAACTATGGTTGCTATCTGGAGAGAGAGAGAGAGAGAGAGAGAGAAATAATAACAAATGATATGTATAGACATGTCTATATAGAGTCAAAAACTGAGCATGCGAATCGAAGGATGAGGCAACGAGACGTCCCATCTGAAGTAAGCCGTGAAGGGCTAAGCCAGCGGCGTTAGACGCAATCGGCGGGGGAGAGGGAGGGCGGACCGACGCGTCACCATGAACTCCTCATCAACAATCGCAGGCGGTACCAGTAGCAAGGAAGCGAAATAATGACGCAAGACGTGTGGACGTCCACGCGGCAACAATTGTAGAGAGATCTTGCTAACAACTCTGCGATCAACGGCGACGGATGGGCCTACGAGGCAAGGATGTTAAGGTAGCCTCGATAACGCATTGCGTCCGTTGTAAAGAAAGTTACTGCATCCCAAGCACGTCGCGCAGTGAAACAGGTGATGCATTGATGCATCGACTTTGCCTGAAGGGATGGCCTTCGCACTGACAGGCGGCTGTGGAAAGACGAGCGTTCTAGCATGTCGCGGACCTGCGAAACCGAAACCGAGGCCACCCCCTTCCAATCCCCCCAGCCACTTTCTCCACCCCCAACTCCTGCTCCTCCCGCTCCTCCCCCGTCTCCCCGCTTCCCCCTACCACAACCTCTCCTCCTCCACCGCCTCATCAGCACGTCGAGCGAGGGAGAGCGAGGGAGTCTGCAGCAGAAGTAGCATGGGAGCAACTTCATCAGCAGCAGCAGCAGCGACAGTTGCAACAGCGGCATCTGCAGTGGCAGCAGTAGCTGCAGCAATGGCATCGAGAGCAGCAGCATATACAGGGTAGCAAACCTCCGCCCTGCCCACTTGAGCTGCCCATGTGAATTGTGTTGGAAGGCGAAGCGGGGAGAGGAAGGTAAGACCAGGAACGGGCTATTGTGTCGCTCGGCGTAGACGCTAACAAAACTTCAGTGCGACCTGGGACAGCATGAAGCGGGTTGGGCCTTCAGATGGTACGCGCTGCAGCAAGCGCTATGCCATCCGCAGTGTTATTCAAAACGACTGGAATCGTGGCAAAACACTTTGCAACCCTCCAGTCGATACTGCCTGCAACCGACCATCACACCATAGCCACACTGCCGTGATCCTGCCACGCCGTGCGCTATGCGTCAAGGAACCTCGCCGAGCCGAACTCGCATGGCCCTGCAGCCTGAAAGCCAGTGTGTTCGCGTTTGGGGGGCAGGGGGGCGAACCGAACCGTCTGATCGGATGTGGCTGAATACCTTGATGCCACTGCTTCCCTCATCTGACTTCATCGCTCGGAGCGGTGCCACGTAGCGGAACCAACAAGACACCAGCAACCCAAACGTATATTGGGATCGTCTGGCCAAACAAACAGTGCATGCGCGAATGGTCATCATGACTTGCATGCTCTGCTACTGGAACAACGGTCGTGACATGTGTGGAGTCGTTAGGTCCTGGACTGGGCAACAATGCTGGGAAACCAATGCAACCACCACTCTCGGGCAACGTCCGCAAGAGATTAGCGTTCGCCTTGGCTACAGGTGCGTTCGTGCCGACACGGTGGACAGCAGCCGAAGTGGGACGGTGCGAGTGCACCAGAAGGTTACACGGCAAGCGAACCTGGGAGGCTAGAAAAGCGGGAGCATCGCCATGAGCAGCTGGATTGCAGCGGGCTGCCACAAGGATCTCCTGTTCCGCAGCAAACGAGTCTGGGCGAATCATAGCGAACTACCTCGGACCACCTGAGAGTTTTACGATGCCCCCCATCCCCCACAGCCGCAAACAAAGACTGGCTACATCGAGACATGCCCCCATCCTCATTCCACACGGCGCCGACAAGTTGCCGCCGTCATCCTCATTCCGCCGCACACCCTGCAGTACTCCACCGAACCATCTCCGATGGGATCCCAAACGAGCCCGTCGTCAGACCACTCGAACAGGACCACCATTGACTGATGGCGCTCCACGTGCCATGGCAATCTGGGGGACCGTCGAGCTAGTGCCAGGCCTCCGTGCGGGGTGAGACCGCTGCTTCCTGCCAGCTGGGCCCTTGGCTGGCGTGCCGATGGAGACGCATGTGGAACCGCTGGGGTCGCGTAGCGGTGCAGCCAGTGATGGCAACAGGGAGCTGCAGCGGAGGCTGCACCAACGCTCAGTGATGTGCCATTGACCTCCTCCCCCTCCTCCTCCTCCTCCTCCTCCTCCTCCCTCCTCCTCCTCCTCCCTCCTCCTCCTCTCCTCCTCCTCCTCCCTCCTCCTCCTCCTCCCTCCCCCTCCTCCCTCCTCCTCCTCCTCCTCCTCCTCCTCCTCCTCCTCCTCCTCCTCCTCCCCCTCTTCCTTCTTCTCTTCTCCCCTCCACCTCCTCCCCCTCCTCCTCCTCCTCCTCGCCCTCCTCCACCTTCTCCTCCTCCTCCTCCTCATCCACCTCCTCCAGGAGGAGGAGGAGGAGGAGGAGGAGGAGGAGGAGGAGGTCCTGTCCTGTGCACTGCATTTCTGACGTCGGCTACACTCGGCTGGCACTCTAACCTCCAGTGCTCGATCCTCGGTTCTGGCGGTGAGTCCTGAAGGCCGCTGGAGGATCTGAAATGGCTGGGACCCGAGAACATCGGCCAGGAGGGGGGGTGAAGCCAAATCCGCTCAAAACCACATCCCAGAACCCTCCTGGGGTCAACCTGGTGCACTTTTTCACCCCCGATCCGTTTTGGACGGTCCCGGGGCCCGAAAACGGCACCCGAGCCCACCGCCTGGAGCCTGCCCGTCTCTCCCGGCTGGCCAGAACCGATGCCGGGCCACCTCAGACCCCCAGACGGTGCTTGGCATGTGCCCCGGACACTTTAGGAGGCAACTACTAGGAGGATTTCGTCGGAAGGACTGCAAAGGATTAAGCCCCATTGGGGGGCTGCTACGCCGGAGTGGGCCTCGGATTAAGCTGGATTAAGCGGGATTAAGCCGGATTAAGCGGGATTAAGCGGGATTAAGCCGGAGTTCGGACCGGGGCACAATCAGAATTTGACCTCCCAGGAGTTGCATCCGAAGATACTGGTCTTCCAGACCGGCGGCGAGCGATGGGGGGGGCCCCTGGGCGGGGCGCAAGCTCCCACGCCGGCTGCCGCTCGTTGTATAGGCGGCTGCAGGACCTCTTCCGCGGTCCCAGCGGACAGAAGAGGCGTGAGTGCGCATGCACGTCAGGCCGCAGTGCAGCCAGCTGCCCTGCTCCCCGCGCGCACTCCCCCTGATCGGAGGCGAGCGAGGGAAGGGAATGAGAAGGAGAAGGCCTTCTCAGAAGGCGGCGGGGCTTCTGAGAAGCTCTCGCGATCGCGCCTTCTGAGAAGTTTTCTGCGTCTTCGAGGAAGGCTTATGAAACTTCTAAGAAGGCCCCGGGACTTCCGAGCCTTCTGAGAAGACCCTCTCCTTCTCACTTCCCCCTGGGCTCGCCGCCGACTAGAGGCTGGTAGACTTAGCCCTCCAAGCTCGATCCTCTGTTCTGACGGTGAGCCATCCTCCTCGCGGCTGTCCGTCCGTGCTCACCTAAGGCTCGAGAAGGAGCTCGACACGCGCTTTCAGTACGCTCCAGTGCGTCGCGGTAGTCCCTGCGAAGACCCAGCTCAGATCCGTTCGACAGCAGGCGGCGAGGTGTATCGCCAGTGGAAAGATCATGCCCGTCACGAAAGCAATAATAACAATAATCATCATCAGCAGCAGACTCATCATCAGCATCATCATCAGCAGCAGCATCATCAGCATCAGCATCAGCATCAGCATCAGCATCATCATCATCCTCATCATCATTATCATCATCCTCATCCTCATCTTCATCATCATCATCATCATCATCATCATCAGCCTCAGCATCAGCCTCTGCATCAGCATCATCATCATCGTCGTCATCATCATTACCATCACCATCACCATCACCATCACCATCACCATCACCATCACCATCACCATCATCATCATCAGCATCACCACCATCAACATCGCCATCGCCTTCACCATTCTGATCACCATCACCATCATCATCATCAACAACAACATCAGCATCATCAACATCCTCGAGGTCGTCATCATCATCATCAACAACATCATCATCATCATCACCATCACCATCACCGTCACCGTCAGCGTCATCGTCATCATCACCACGAGTCCATCATCATCCTTCACCCTTCGCCTCCCCCCTGCTCCTCCCCCCCCGACGGAAGCGCGCTGGACGCGCGCCGGCCTCGCTGGCCCTGGAGTTGTAGTAGTCCAGGATGGCGTGCATCTGCAGCGTGTCGCGTATCGCCTTCTCGTCCTCGACGGCCGGGGCTTCTAAAGGAGGGGACCTTGATGGGCGTGTTTTCCACCACCACCACCACCACCATAAGTTGGAGGGGGGGGTCCTCCTCCTCCTCCTCCTGCTCCTCCTCCTCCTCCTTCTCCTCCTCCTCCTCCCCCTCCTTCTCCTCCTCCCCCTCCTCCTCCTCCTCTTCGTCCTCCTCCTCCTCCTCGCCCTCCTCCTCGCCCTCCTCCTCCTTCCCCCTCAAACTTATAGTGGTGGTAGTGGAAAACAGGCTCATCAGACCTGATAGGGACCTTCGGAGAGAGATTTCTCGAGTTTCGTTGGTCCGTCGAGGCTTTCTCGCCACGGCATGTGTGCTTAACGATCCACGATAAGGCCCGTTACCGGCCATGCCCTACACAAACCCGGTGCCGCCACGTTGAGTGCACCAGTGGGCTGATTTGAACAACAATGCCTGCGTACACCACAATGCGTCTGTACACCATAATTCCTGCGTGCACCAGTGTCGGTATACACCACAACGCCCGTGTACACCACAGGGCCTGTCTGCACAACTATGCTTGTGCATACCACAGTGCCTGTGTTCACCAGAGTGCGTGTTTACACCACACTGCGTGCATACACCACAATGCCTGGGTACACCACAGCGCCTGTGTATACAGAAATAAATTCGTACATCATGAAGCCTTTGTACACCACAGCTGCTGCAGCTACAACATATGTGTGCACCACAGCACACGTGTACATCGAAGTACCTGTGCACACCACAACAGACACGTGCACCACGGCGCCTGTGTGCACCACGGTGGGTGTGCGTACATCGCCACTGCAACTGCTGTACACCGCAATACCTTTGTACACTCCAGTGTGCACCTTCAGAGTCACGGCAAAAATCTGGAAAACCGTAGGGATCCATCACGTGATCAATTCAATATGAGAGATATTCGTGATTCTTGTGTTGACTGGTCCAATGTACGGTCACTTGTTTCTCGGGGGCAACGCAGTTGTATACATGACAGTCGATCTGAACCTATAGGTCTGTATACACAATAATGCTTGCGTACACCACAGATGCTGCAGCAGCATCTGTGTGCACCCAAGCGCCTGTATGCCACAGCGACTGTGTACACTGCAAGGCGTGTGTGAAAAAGAGCGCCTGTGTACAACGAATTGATTGTGGACACCACCAACCTGTACCACTAATGCTGCTGCACCAGCAAATGTGCGCACTACAGCGCCTGTAAACACCACACTGCCAGTCTACACCACAACAGTCGTGTGCACTACAGCGCTTGTGCTCACCACAATGCCTGTGTATACACCAAAGCACCTGTGTACACCACGGCTGTTTCTGCACCAACGGTATGCACCACAACGTCTCGAACACACTGCAAATGTAATACAGATGTGCACCTCTGGAGGCCTCCAGAAGCCTCCCGACGACGACGGTTGCCGATCGTCGGTCGTCGGTCGCATGGTTGGTCGTCCGTCGTCCGTAATCCGTCGTCTGTCGTCCATCGTTCGTCGTTCGTCGTCATCGTCGTCGTCCTAGGCCACTCCCAGCCAGGACCTCCCCGTGGGCGCAAATCGTGACGTTACCTGGTTCCTTCCCCCTCCAACCCCCCTCTGGTAACGGCCGGTATCGCCAGAAGATAAAGAAACGGGCCTCCGGAACGTACCACATATGGGATGGTCCCCAGATGTCAATCGCGAAGCAGCAGCAAAGCACAACAGGCGTCGTGGGACTCCGGAAAAGAGCGTGCCGACACCCGAGCTCGCCTCCCAATGGCTACGAAGGGCGCCCAGCGCAGAATTCAGGGACATACATATGTACGCAACCAAGGGCGCTAGACGCAAGATAATTCGGCTGTACCGAACGATCACCACAAGGTATACCAATACTGAGACGCATGTAGCCCAGTCCCAGTAGGGGGGGGAGAGAGAGAGAGAGAGAGAGAACAAAAAAAAAAAAAAAAACGCCAGGAAGCACTGACATGAGGAGGTCAAGGGGGACGGACGTGCGACGGACCACTGGAATGACTTGAGCCCAAAGCCACGGGAGGAGTAGGTTGGAGGAGAGGGAGTGAGTGACTGAGCCCATGGGACCGCGCCCTGTGACCCAACACACCTGAGGAGGAGGAGGAGGGGAAAGCACGCGGAGGCCCCGCGACGGGGCGGGACATGCAGAGCCTCGGGAGCAGAGGAAGCCAAAAAAGCACAAACAGAAACTTTCAGGTCCGCGCGGATCTCCTTTCGGCGGTGAGCGTGGGGGGAAAGTGAGAAGGAGCAGGCCTTCTCCGAAGGCGGCGGGGCTTCTTAAAAACCCTCTGGCCTTCTGAGAAGTTGTCTGTGTCTTTTGGCACGGCTCAGAAAAGTTCTCAGAAGGCTGGGGGGTCTCCCGGACCTTCTCAGAAGGGCCGCCCCTTCTCACTTGCCCCCCCGAGGGTTCGCCACCGATCCTTGCTCGGCGCTGGGCCCCCCCTGGCGCGCGGGGGTCTGGCGAAGATCCAAGAAGTCCGCGCGGAGCTCCGACAAAGTACAGCCATGCAGTTGTTGTTTCTTCCTCGAGGCACGGGGCCGCTCAGGCCGTCGACGGATCCTGCGCGCAGAGTCGGACTTGCTTCTGTTGACGGCCTTGCCTTCGCTAGAGGCCGCCGCTCCGCGGCAGTGCGGCCTCGAGGCCACGGCTACCCCGCAGGGGATTGCCCTTCCGACTGAACTTGCCCAATCCCGCCCCCCTCCATCCTCCTCCCCCTCCTCCCCCTCCCCCTCCTCCTCATCCTCCTCCTTCTTCCTACCAGCATTAGTATTATTATTGCTATTAGTAATATTAATATTCGTCTTCGTCTTATTCGCATTATTATTCTTATTATTAGTGGTACTAATGTTAGTATTCGTATTATTCATATTGTCCTTATTATTGGTATTATTATTATTGCTCTTACGTTTTATTACTGCTCTTATTTTTATTATTAGTAGTAGTAGTAGTCGTACTATTCTTAACATTCGTATTATTCGTACTATGAGTATTATTATTGTTATGTGTAGTGTTATTATTAGTCGTAGTATTGTTATTATTTGTATGGCTATTAGTATCCTTCTTATTCGTAGCATAGTTATTGGTATGTTTATTCGTATTAGGCTTCGTCTGCTTACCAGCATTCTTAGTCGTAGTAGTAGTATTATTCGTTAGTGATATATGATGTTTTTTTTCGTATTAGTTGCATTCCTATTCGTCGTATCACTATTCTTATTAATATTAGTAATATTAGTCGTCTTCTTATTGCTGTTATTCACAGTATTATTCAACGTATTCTTCTTGTTATTAGTATGCTTACTCTTATTCCTCCTCCTCCTCTTCTTCCTCCTCCTCCTCCTCCTCCTCCTCCTCCTCCCCCTCCCCTTCCACCCGTTCCGACAGCATGTGCCCGACTCCCCCAGCGGATTCGAGGGGGAGGGCGATGATTGCCCCATCCAGAGCAGGCTCGCACATCCCCGCAGAGGCTGCGAGACGCGGCTCGGCCCGGCGAGGGCTGAGCTGCATCGCGGAGCGCTCAAGAAGTAGCGAGGCCGGGCTGCAGAAGCAGGGTGACGAGGACGCAGAGCGAGGCAAGGTCTACGCCGTGCCTTGTGGGATGCAACAGCGCGAGTGGGGCCGCCATGCACGGGGGAGTCAGGGAGGACGGCCGGCGCGGGCAGGAGGGAGAAGGATGCCGGGCCCGCTCAGAGCAGGGCCAGCAGGCGGCGGGGGGGGCGCCGGGAGCGGGGACCAGCGGCAGCGAGGCGGCGGCTGGGGGGTAGGCAGGGCAGGGCGGCCGCCGGAGGCAAGCGCCCAAGGGGGGGCAGGCCCAGCACGAGCTGGAAGCGAAAGCAGCGACAGCGAGGTAGCCAGGGGAGCCGAGGTCACGAGTGACCTGCGAGGCAGCCCGGGGACGGCGGCCAGCGCGGGACCACCTCCAGGAGAGGGGTCGGCCTGAAAACCAGGCAAAGCGGGGGAGGCGCAGGGGGGCACGACCAGCAAGTGCCCAGCGGGGCGCCGTGGGTGCAGAAGTCGCTTATGACCTGGAAGGCAACCCCGAGGCGGCGCATGCCAGACCCACACGCCAGGGAAGCCCAGACTGGGCGGAGCAGTCCCAGGGGAGCGCAGGCAGGCGACGAGGAAGAGGCGGGAACCCCGGGGGTGAGGGTGCCGAGGTCCCGCGCGACTGCGAGACGCCCCCGGGTGCCGGCAGGCGGGGAAGACGGGCGCGGAGCAGCGCCTGGGAGCGACCCAGCGCGAGCAGGAACTACGGGCAAAAAAGCGGCACCCCGAGTGCCGAGGCCGGCGGGGCGCAACGAGGCGCCCGAGCACGGACGAGGGCAGCGCCGGCGCGTGCCGAGGGGGGGGGTAGGCCTGAGAGCCAGGCAGGGCGGAAGAGGAGGAGCGGTGGGCGCAGGCAGCGCCAGGCGAGAGGAGGGGCCGCCGCCCAAGGCGGTGCAGAAGGCCACCGCCTCGCAGCAGCGGGCGGACCCGGGAGCGGGGGCCGCGAGGAGAACGAGGAGGAGGAGGAGGAGGAGGAGATCGAGGAGGAGGGGGAGGAGGTCGAGGAGGACGAGGAGGAGGAGGACGAGGGGGAGGAGGTCGAGGAAGGAGCGGCGGGGGGGGGGGGGGCGGGGGGGGGGAAAGCGCCTCCGCCCAGGCGGCAGGGGCGGGACAGGGGCGCGCGGCGGGCAGCCCAGTGGCCGAGGAGGCGGCCAGGCGCGGAGGGGCCGTGGGGCAGGGGGCCGAGGGTGGGCGGCAGGGCCGGCCCGCGCTCGGCCAGGAGCGTCGAGACGGACCATGTGCTCCCCGAGTGGGGCAGGCTCCCCGCCTCGGCTGGGGGGGGGCCCTCCCCCGCGGCCCGCGGCCTGGGCTCGGGCGAGAAGCAGCCCGCCACCGCGGCGGGGGCGGCGGGGCCCGCTGGGGCCGCGCGGGCCTCCGGGGCCTGGGGCGGCGCCCGGGCGGGTGCCGGCGCCCCGGGTGCGGGGCGGCGCATGCAGGACGGAGAGGACTCCGGAGAACTGGGTAGACGCACGGCAGCAAGGAGACGGACGCGGGCGGCGGTGGCCGACCCGGAGGGGCACAGGGGCAGGGGGCCCCGACGAGGCGCACGGCCAGCGCGCCCGGGGCGACCAGGCGCGAGATGCCAGCGCTTCAGGGGCACCCGTCGGCGGAGGGTGCCAGGGGGGCGGAGGCGCAGGCCGGGCCGTGCAGCGGGGGTGCGCCCCGAGCTGGGCGGAGCGGGGGGGAGCACCGAGCTGGCGCACAGAAGAGTGTGCTGAAGGCGGCGGGCTGCGAGGCGCCAGCCAGTGAGGGGAGCGTTGGTGTGGGGGTAGCAGAGCCCAGCCCGGGTCGGGGCATGCGGGAGCGGTCGGGGAGTGAACGCGTAGATGCACCGAACTGGTGCACCGAAGTGCGCGCACACACACACACACACACACGAAGATGACCAAGGACCCCCCCTGTGAAGGGAGTCCAGAATTGCCGCCGCTCGACCTCGAGCGACAGGAGGAGGAAGCAGCGAGACCAGGAGGCGAGAGAGAGAGAGAGGGGGGACGAGGAGGAGGCGGAGGCCGAGGCCATCCAGAGGTCGAGAGCGGGAGGGCGGCCAGGGGGTCCTTGACGGCGTTCTCGCCTCTGCGGGCCTCCTCGGGGTTGGCCTCGTAATACTGCATCGTCTCCTCTCCGGGAGCATGTCTCAGTTGCAGCATGGAGCGAGGAAGCGTCCCCCCTGGAGTGGCACGAGAGGAGAGAGAAGTGGGAGGAGCGGGAGGACGAGAGGGAAGACGAGAGCGGAGAGGAAGAGAGAGAGGAGAGAGCCGATCAGATGCCAGCAGAGAGAGGAGGGACATGGGAGGAGAGAAGAGGAAGAAGGAGAGGAAGAGAGATAGAGAGAAGGAGGAGATCGAGGGAGAAAGGGAGAAAGGGAGAGGGAGAGAGAGAGGGGGAGAGAGAGAGAGAGGGAGAGAGGGAGAGAGCGAGAGAGAGACGAAAAACACAGAGCAGAAAGTAGAGTCGATAAAGAGAGAGAGAGAGACAGAGAAAGGAGAGAGAAAATAGGGAGTAAAAGGTTCCGGCCCGGAGGGAAATATCATCAACTGGGGGAGTTTGGGGGAAGGGCTCGGGGTACCTCCGTGGTCAGACCCTGGCGGATGACGGGGAGCGCGCGTAGACTCGAAGAGTCGCGCGATGGACGTTGGTTCCGGCCCGGAGGGAAATATTATCAACTGGGGGGAGTCTGAAGGGGAAGGGCTCGGGGCATTTCCTTTATCCAAACCTAGCGGATTTTGAAAAACGAGCTTTTCGCCTGAGACACCCTCGCCAAATCGTGAAGTTGGGGGTCGTATCTCAAGACGTCTTTTGCTAAACATGAGCATTTCTGTCGAGACATTCTCGGAAAATGGGAATGTTGAAATCGTTGGAAAATGGCGTTTCGCCTCAGACATCCTCGAAAAAATGGGATGCGCCAAGAGCTCTTGTAAGGCATCTTTTCGGAGCGATCTCGGATGACCTCCAAGAAGGCCGAAGAAACCAAAATATTGAAAACAAATCATGGGCGTTTAATAGTTTTGTTAAAATCAGAGCGTCTCGCCGGAAACATCCTCAAAACATTGCATTCGGACGGGTCCTCGAAAACGAAATTACTCACAAACCAATGGGTTTCCAACAATTCTGTAGGAAGAGGCAACATAGAGAGTACCTGTATTACCACCCTTCGGTGATAAGAGGTTCGGGGTCAGAGGAACCAACGTCTCAATCGATCCATCTCACTCTCACTATCGATCTCACTGTCGATATCACTAGCGGTCGCACAACCAGTCGCACAATCGATATCACGATAGATATCACTGCCAGTCTGACTATCCCTCTCACTATCGATCTCACTGTCGGTCTCACGATCGATCTCACACTCGACCTCACAATCGACCTCACTATTGATCTCACTATCGATCTCACTGTCGATCTCAGTATCGATCTCACTATCGATATCATTATCCATCAAATTATCCATCACACTTTCCATACCACAATCGATCATACTATCGATAGCGCGATCGATCTCACAGTGGATCTCACTATCGATGCCACTATCGATCTCACGATCGATGTCACAATCGAGCTCACTATCGATCTCACTCTATCGACCTCACAATCGATTTCACTGTCGATCTCACTCTATCGACCTCTCTATCGACCTCATTATGGATCACACGATCGATCTCACTATCAATCTCATGGGACACCGCGGGACACCACGGGACACCATCGGGACACCACGGCCGAACACCGCGGGACACCGCGAAACACCATCGGGACACCACAAGACACCGTCACGGGACGCCACGGGGAACCGCGAGGCACCGCGGGACACCACGGGACACCACGAGACACAACGGGACACCATCAGGACACCACAGCTGGACACCGACGGCACCCGCCCGCCACGAGACAAGTGAGGGGCGGACTTGTGTCCTCGCCGCGCCCAAGCCAGAGGAGTGTTCAGTCCTCTCGCCCGCCCACGTAGCTTCGCCTCACCCGCACTCACGGCACAAGCCCAAAACCGAAACCGATTTCCCGGCTGGGGGCTCTCCGATCAACTTCGATCTCCCCCCCTCACCTCCGGTAAAGAGCATACCTATATTTCCACCTGTATGACCATCCTTCGGGTGATAAGGAGGTTTGGGGGAGAGAAACATCTAAGGGCAACTGCGATCATTGTGATGGTGGCGATGCTGGTGATGCGCTGCGGAACACCCCCGGGCACCGCCCGCGGACACCGACGGGATACCGACGGGACACCCCCAGCAGGACACCACCACAGCGGGACACCTCCGGCCACGCCGGCCCACCGGAGGGGCGGTCTTTCGTCTTGACCCGCCCTAGCCACAGCGGAGTCATTCCTCTCGCCGGCCCACGCAACTGCGTCTCGCCCGCACGCACGACACGAACCCGAAATCGGAACCGATTTCCCTCTGGGGGCTCTCCGTTCCACTTTGATCTCACCCCCCAACCGCCAATACCTATACGACCACCCTTCGGGTGATCGGGGGTTGGAGGTGAGATCGCAATGGAACGGAGAGCCCCCGAACTGGAAATCGATTTCGGTTTCGGGGATCGTGTCGTGCGTGCGGGCGAGGCGAAGCTGCGTTGGGGGCTCTCCGTTCCGCTTCGATCTCACACCCCAACCTCCGACATGCGAAACAGGTTTGGGGGGAAAGAGCCAACTGAGGACAACTGCGATGATTGTGATGGTGGCGATGCTGGGGATGCGCTCACGAGTTGGCGGGACACCCCCGGGCACCGCCCGCGGACACCGACGGGATACCGACGGGACACCCCGGGCAGGACACCACGGCGGGACACCCCCGGCCACGCCGGCCCACCGGAGGGGCGGTCTTGACCCGCCCTAGCCACAGCGGAGCCATTCCTCTCGCCCGCCCACGCAACTGCGCCTCGCCCGCACGCACGACACGAGCCCGGAACCGAAACCGGATTCCTGGTCGGGGGGGCTCTCTCTATTCCACTGCGATCTCCCCCCCCCGAACCTCCGATATACCTACCCTTCGGGTGGTAAGGAGGGTCGGAGGGGAGAAACCAACGTCTCACTCTTTCGATCTCACGATCGATCTCACAGTCGATCTCACGGTCGATCTCACTATCGATCTCACAGTCGATCTCACTATCCGTCTCACTATCGATCTGCCTATCCCTCTCATCATCGATCTCACAATGGATATCACTATCGATATCATTATCCGTCTCACTATCGATGTCGCAATCGATCTCACCATCGATCTCACTATCGACCTCATTATCGATCTCACTATCGAAGTCACGATCGGTCTCACGATCGACCTCCCTATCGATCTCCCTGTCGACCTCACGGGACATCACGGGACACCGCAGGACACCACGGGACACCGTGCGGACACCACGGCGGGACACCCCTGGGCCACACTGGCCCCCGGGGGGGGGGGGGGGCGGACTTCTGCCCTGGCGGCGCCCTGGCCCAGAGGGGGATTCGGTCCTCTCGCCCGCACACACAGCTTCGCCTCGCCCGCACGCACGACTCGAGCACGAAACCTGCACCGATCTCCCTGTGGGGAGCTCTCCGTTTCGCTGCGCTCTCACCCCCTCACCTCTACCTACACGGCCACCCTTCGGGTGAGAAGGAGGTTCGGGGGGGGAAGGGACCAACGACTCACTCTTTCGATCTCACTACCGATCTCACAATCAATATCACAGACGGTCTAACCCGATCGATCTCACTATCGATCTCACAATCGATCTCACTATCGACCTCGCAATCGATCTCACTATCCCTCTCACTATCGGTCTCACTATCGACCTCACAGTCGGTCTCACCCGATCGATCTCACTACCGATCTCACCATCGCTCTCACTGTCGATAGCTCAGTCGATCTCACAGCGGATCCCACTGGCGATCTCGCCATCGATCCTGCGATCGATCTCACCATCAATCTCACCATCGATCTCACTATCGAACTCACTATCGCTCTCACCACCGACCTCATGGGACACCAAGGGACACCACGGGGCGCCGCGCCAGCGGACACCGTGGGCCACCGCAGGACACCACGGGCCACCACGGGACACCGTCCGGACACCACGGCGGGACACGTCCGGCACCCGCCCGCCAACAGGGGGGGTGTCGGACTTCTGCCCCAGCAGCGCCCTGGCAAAGGGGGGGTTCGTTCCTCTCGCCCGCCCACACAGCTTCGCCTCGCCCGCCCGCACGGCACGAACACGGAACCAAAAGCAATGTCCCGGTGGCGGGCTCTCCGTTCCGCAACGATCTCACCCCCTCACCTCCGAGATAAATACATATATCGAGAGAGAGGTAGATACAGAAGAAGAGAGAGAGAGAGAGAGAAAAACAAAAAATTACCCTGGCGACGTACTCAACCCCTGCGCAAACGCGGGGCGCAAATAGTTTAGGACACTTTATAAGGGGGGCGGTGACGGAGCGAGGGCTACATATGTCTGCAGACGGAATTCGGGAGACTCGCAGGACACTGGCTACAGGACAAAGACTAGATAAAGCTGATTAGTTACAATCCCTGAGCACCCCTGGCCACTTCGAAAGCGGGGATCTCATATCGCAGCCCCCGAGAGATGGCGAGGTCTAACTTGAGTCTGCGGCGAGGTCTATTGTGGATCCGCGTAGCGCGTCACTGTGCTGGGCCCCCCAGCAGGCCTCGAAAGTGGCGACAGGTTCACAGATCGCAGCCCCCCCAGGGATGGCGAGGTCTAATTTGGGTCCGCGCGTGGCATCACTGTGCTGGGCCCCCCAGCAGGCCTCGAAAATGGCGACAATTTCGCAGATCGCAGCCCCCCAGGGACGGCGAGGTCTAATTTGGGTCCGCCCGTGGCCCTCACTGTGCTGGGCCCCCCCCAGCAGGCCTCGAAAATGGCGACAGTTTCGCAGATCGCAGCCCCCCAGGGATGGCGAGGTCTAATTTGGGTCCGCCCGTGGCCCTCACTGTGCTGGGCCCCCCAGCAGGCCTCGAAAGTGGCGACAGTTTCACAGATCGCAGCCCCCCAGGGATGGCGAGGTCTAATTTGAATCTGCGCGTGGCCCTCACTGTGCTGGGCCCCCCAGCAGGCCTCGAAAATGGCGACAGTTTCGCAGATCGCAGCCCCCCAGGGATGGCGAGGTCTAATTTTGGTCCGCCCGTGGCCCTCACTGTGCTGGGCCCCCCAGCAGGCCTCGAAAGTGGCGACAGTTTCACAGATCGCAGCCCCCCGCAGGCAAGACAGGAGGAGGCAGGCAGGAGGCAGGAGGGAGGCGGGAGGAGACGCGACCACACTGCTCTATTCAAAACGAATACCCAACCAAGGAGGGTTGGGAAAAATGCAGGGAGAAGAGTAGCGAAGGCGAGAGAGCAGAGAGACAGAGAGAGAGAGAGTAGAGTAGAGTGGTGCAGGTTAGGGTCGAACAAGATAGAGAAAGGGAGAGAGAGAGAGGGAAAGAGTAGAGAATGAGTTGAGAGAGTAGACCGAGAGAGGGAGAGTGCATAGAGAGTGTGTAGAGAGGTGGAAGAGAGCAGAAAGAGAGAGGGACAAAGAGAGAAAGAGAGCGAAAGATAGAGAGAGAAGGGAGAACAAGCAACCAACACAAAACGAAACATATAGAGTGAACACGAAAGAGTGAGAGAGAGAGAGACAGAGATAGAGACAGAGACAGAGACAGAGGCAGAGAGAGAGGCAAACAACAAAAAGGGTACAGGGAGAGGAATACGCCCCCCCCCCCCCGCCCGCTCCAAATGCCCCCGACTAGACATGAAATTAGGTTACGGGAGTGGACTTATGGGTGTCACATGCCGATCGTCCACACTGGCCTCCCAGGACCCAGCTTCCCCATCGGAGTGTAGGGAGATGTCTCGATGACTGGAGCCCCCAACAAGTTGCTGACCGCGCTTGCAAACGTCAGGACTCGAGGACAAAGAACACCGAGCACGTGACAATCGAAAATCTGGAACGCTGGCGAACGGACCTTCGCCGCAAGCGTCTGAGAAGGGCACTACCCTCGAATGCCGTGTGCCAGCCACGTCTGGCCGCACCGTCTGGCGTGTAGATACGGGAACGGCCGTGGTGCTGCACACCTCCACTGAAGCCTAACTGGGATCGCACTTCGCGACGGCGCCCGAAGCGAGAAAGCCTGCGCCGCCTGGTGGAACCGCCCAACCTGTCAAACATGACTTAAGGAACAACTGTGCAGCGCAAAGCCAAGCATGGCTGCCCTTATCTGCCCTTCCCTCCAAGAGCCTTCCACGTCAGATCGTCGGTGCCGGGCGGCTTCGTCACCTCGCGCGCGAGATATGCAGAGGGGACGAGCGCGACCGAGCGGATGCGCCAGAAGCAGCGTGCAACCGCTGCCACGACAGCATCCGAAATTCAAGGTCCTCGGAAAGAGCCCATGCACTCCCACCTCCTGCGTCCCCTCCCCTCCCACCTCCCCCTGGCCCCCTCCTCCTGGACCGTTCCCCCTCCTCCTCCTCCTCCTCCTCCTCCTCCTCCTCCTCCTCCTCCTCCTCCTCCTGCCGCTGCTCCTCCTCCAACTTCTCCTTCCCTGGCCTTCGCAGCTGTGGCGGAATC